TGTGTGCACCCACAACTATTAACCACATAGTTACTGACATAATTTTGAGATTCTAGAGCATGTAAAATGAAAATACCTGATTTTTCTGGTCTAGGGAATTAAGTCCAGGGGTAATAGCTATTACTTGAAAGGACGAATGCCCATTTTTGTAAAGACTCCTCGACCACTAATTTATCTCAGTTCTTTTTCATCTATTTGTTTTCTATATATTCCACACTAACTTTCATGAACCTCTCTTSTGGAACAAACTCTGAAAAAGCTTATATATTAGCAACTTCCTTTAGGACAACCATTCAAGTTGTCCTCAGGACAAATCAGGAGAATGTATCTGCCACTGACAGAGTTGGGTCATTCTTTACATGCAAGCTGTCAAATCCTTTGTGTCASTCACCACTTATGGGGTCCTCAAACSTCCACAACTGGAGCTTGTGGTAGTCTTGGACTGCCACTCAGAAGGGAACTGACTGTTTTGGGAGTAACCTTTATTTACTAAAACAGTTCTACYGCACAGAATTATCCCACCAGAAGCAGTCTGTGTGAAGGAGATCTGCACTTGCAGCATCATGAATCACATTCTTCAGTTTTGCTCTTTTTAAACCATAACAGATATTTTTTATCTCAAGAAATTTAAATGTCCACTATTTCTCCTACTTCCTTTCTGTTTTGCAGAAAAATACGAGAAATCAGAAAGCTCTCCCACTGCTGTCAGATCCACGGTCTACTTATGGCTGATGCAGAAAAAGCCAAAACATACATAGAGAGCTTTCAAGTTACAGTGGCTGCTACACTGCCAGGCCAAGAACAGCTCTGCAGAAGAGCTGGGATGGTCAGGTGTTCTCTCATCATGAGCAGTCCAAGTGAATCCAGACAGAGAAGTAGGAGAAGCACCAGAACATGAGCAGGAAATCTAATAATGTGTAGCACAAGTATACACATGGACTTTACAGCCACATAAGAAATCACAAAAGATTATAAATTAAGGTGATCAATGCCTCCACTGTGTTTACAGGCAGGCATTCATCAGAGCTACATAGGCATTGGCTTCTGAGCATGTACTAGGGCACATAAAAAGACATGGAAAATCCATCACTAGGTTTGTCTCAAGGGTTACAGGTCTCAGCAGGGTGTACAACTGTTTTCCATTACTTTGTAAAAGAATGTCAGTAATTTGGAACTAGGTCACTCTGGACCTTAACTGCTCATGACAAAGAGCAGATCTGAAATCCCTTTACATTATCCATTTTGTGATATCCAAATCATACATATAACTCATTCCAACAGTGCAGTTAAAGAACAGGCTGTGTCAGCCTTTTAACATTTGGTACACAAGCATTACCTCATTCCAGTGTTTCTCTTCAAAACTTATTTTTTTTGGGTTTTTTTTGGTGATATATAAAGAAGTGGCTGCTCATGAAGTAAGTGGTCTRGATTAAAAAGTGAGCAGTTTGTGAAGGAAACCCCAAAAACATAGCTTAATGTTTGGGTCTTTAACTTCTACATGGCGGTTGGGTTAAATAACTCATGTTTTGCATTTCTTTCCAATTTGATTTGTCTATGAAGGTTTCAGAAGTTGTTTTGCTATTTCATGCAGGAAAATAAAGACTATTCAAGGGCACTCCTCCACTTCCAAGCAGGCCAATGCAGAGCTTGTACTAGCTCCAAAGTTAGGATTTTCCAGTAAAGAAATGTAGGAAATTATTTATGTTGGCCATACAAACACATTATTTCCAATCTGAATATAAAATCTGTCTTGCCATCTAGTTGATCGGATCCAAGCTGTAAGGTCATAGCACAATCTGAGCATTGGAAACTGATGCAGCTCTGTGGAAATGTTTCCTTGTTCCCACTATTGCAGAATGAGCATCCTTCAACTTGGGAAGATTTAACCATGAGGAAGAACATCTATTCTAGCATCCCTAAGAGCTTGTTTTCCCTACTTTTTTCTTCATATTATTTTTATGAAATAAAAGTAACTTTTCATTTGGGGCTTTGCAAGTCATGCTTTGCTGAGCAGTACTAGAAATCTTAAGAAAAGCAACAGAAAGTCACTGAAACTTGATTTTCTTAAGATGTGGTAGATATACATAACAACACATGGGCAGGGTTTCAAAAATAAATTGGGTGCACAGATAATTTGTATTTCTGTAACAACAAGCATATGTGTGCACTTTAGAGAGACCYACATTTGATCTGTGAACATTCTCAAACCTGAACCTTCACAAAGAAATCCCCACCAGTTGCAATGCCTTTAAGAGTCAATACATGAAAATAACCCCACTGTGCTCCGGACCAGCTGTGCTTTCTATGTGTATAAATAAACTTTGCCTTTATCTTCTGTGACTTTTGGGGGGCTGCTGAGATGCAGATATGCATCTTTAAAATTATAGCTTTGTTCTGCACCAGAGTGATGACAGACYTGAACTGACAGTGTATGAGCATGGGCTGTCACCACTATTTGGCTTTCAAAGCCCTCTTTTGGTCACCATGACGTCCACTAAAGGCTTCCTCTTTTAGTCTCTGATGTCTCACAGTTTGCAAGTAACACAGARTGACAGCAGACTACTAATTGTGTGCCAAGACTCATTTTCTCACGTTAAAAGGATAGGGTTGATTCTCCCTAGGGTAAAGGAAACAGAGGAGAAATAGCACGGGAAAAGGTGACACTTGGTCCCTGCATTCCCCAACTCCCTCCCCGTGTCCCTCTCTGCACATTGCCTGCAGCTCAGCTGCCTTTGCCATTCAACCCCTGCCTGATGAAATAAGGGGGTRGGGGAACAATGGCCCTTGGAGATTGGGCAGAGGGCTGGGTAAAGGGTGGGGGAGGCTGTTAAAGCCGTTGAGGGGTGGCAGTTGGGCACCAGAGTGGCCCCAGGACAGCGGCTGCTCCAGGACAGGGACGAGCTGTGCAGGTGGGCTGGGGGTGCCTGAGTGGGTCCTTGCCTCAGGGATGAGTGGCACCCAAGCCATTGTTCTGTGGTGTGCTTGTCATGCAGGGTGTGTGTCAAATCATGGGGTGCACAAGTGTCTGAGAGCTCTTCTTGGTCACAACATCTGGTGTGGAGCACTGTAGGCCTGTGTGCCCGTGCATTTGTTCACTTACACGTGTCTGTGTGTGTCTGTGTGTGTCTGTGTGTGTCTGTGTGTGTCTGTGTGTGTCTGTGTGTGTATGGGCTGATGATCCATCAGAGTGCCACCTAGGACCACACAAGGATCTGCCGTCGCACACAACAGCTCATACTCTGGGGGTTACATGTCTGTATGCAGGTACCTACACAAAGGAGCATGCCAAAATCCCACAAGCTCTCGGGTATCTTCATTTGTTTGTGTGATGAGGGCTTGTGCTGAGATTGAATGACTATCTGTGCATATTTGAATATTAGTTTGACGGTGAGTCCGAGTGTGCAACCAGGTCTATTTTTATATCTGACTAGCTCAAGGAAGAGGTTTTGGTTGTCAAAAGTGTAGTAGGAGATGCAGGGTTTGCACATCTGTGATGAAGTGTGGGTAGAAAAATGCCTTGTGTCAAAGTGAGAGAGAGAAGCATGTTGCCCATATCATAAAGGAGGAAACATGGTTGTCTGTTCTGGTCTCATCAGTATAGCACTGACTGCATTACTGAGAGGATGTTATGCGATTTTTTTTTTATTTAAAAGTACAGACATCCTGTATATCTTCACATGTCTATCACATAAAGCTACAATGCCAGAATAACGTGGTCATTTGCATATTTGCACACAGCAGCACATATCTGTTTGCCATCTGTGTGTGCTTTAGTTTGGCATCTGAGTGTGAATGACTGCATATTTTTACTTGGGGAGCATGTGTAGAATGATTCGGATGTATTGATCATTGTCATGTATTGATTTATGTTTTGCAGGACTAGTCTTGCAAAGAACTGATTGTCATTGCTCAGTGGCAGAAGGTAACAATGAAAGATAGGTTCTTTTGCTGAAGAGTTCCCACTAATATGGCATATTTCCATCTGCTAGTTGCCTCTAGTGTCAACAGCCAAGTTTCATCTCCTTAGAATCTTTAAAAGACAAGAATTCATGCCATGCCTTGTAACACTACCTGGTTTAAAGGATCTGAAGAAAGCCTGCACCTAAAATTTAAATCCTTAACAATATTTTTACATAAAATATGAAACAAGCCTGAGGGTAAGGGTTCTTGTATTGGCTGCCATGCCGCAGTCTGTGATCTGAAGGGAGCAGCTTGGGTGAGCATATCAGGATATTTCAAACCCTGGACATATTTGCTGCTTGACTTGTYAAATAACAGTGCCAGAGGAGGTCACATTCATGTGGGCACTTTCATTTTCCCCAAGACAAAGACCACCACCTTAACCAATAACTCCAGAAATTCAAGCTYCTCATGCTGAAGTCAAACTTAATCCATGTGTGTATCTTAACTGAGATTGTTGTCCTGCCCAGTTCACAGTTAATTGGCTATTTACAATAAATAAATAAATAAATAAAAGACATTATTTATTAATGACAGGATGATGAATGTAGCAGAATTCCATTTGGGAATTTGGCTATGGAGAACAATCATGTTATTGCTTTTTATGTATACCAGCAGACAGGAAGACTGATTTGATGTTATTAGAGTTGAAGCTCTTTAATCAATATTTTTCAGAGATGGTCCAGTGTTACAGCAGCTGTCATCCCATCAAAGTTCCCATGGCTATTCCGAATGCAGTAATTATAAGCTCAAAAAATTGTTGAGGTCAAAAGTTTTGAACACCCTAACAGATAAAGGAACTAAATTTTCTTCTGTTTCCTGTGCTTTTTTGTTTTTGCAAACAAGTTGTATGTTGCTCCACAAAATTCTGGAGTATTAACTACCATTGTTGTAGGTGCTTCAGTTCAGTTAATTGCTAAGGGAATCAGAAGGCAGTGGTATTTTGAGAATCATACAAATCAGTTCTGTATGTCACACAGTCTTCAAAAAAGCTTTAAAAGTTCTTCATATTTTAATATTTTTTCTATAATCACAGGGAAATGGCAGGCAGGAAGAAAGAAGTCAAGCTCCAGGTATAAATCCTAATTACTTGAACAACTTTAGAGAGAAATAGATGTTTTTTCTACCTTTTCAAAATGCTAAAATGTTAATTCAATTTGTTTCAGGCTGTAATAACCAATCAAGATGAGTGGGATGAAATGCTGCAAACGCAGGGTATAGTAGGTACTAACAGTTCATATTTTGTGTCTCATGGAGATATGTACACRTTTCCATATTTATACATCATCTGTAATGGTTACTCTAGAAGACTAGTGCTATACCTTTAAAAGGAAGATTATATTAATATATATTTATAAATGCATATCATRGAGTCATTGAATCAYAGAATTGTTTAGGTTGGAAAATACTTTTAAGATCATCTATTATGACTATGAATATGAAGTATCTGATATGATAAATGCTCAAAATCAAAATAATATTTATCTGAGTTTTATTTTTATATATGTTTAGAAAATAYCTTTCCAATATGGTATTCTCTGCCATAGGGGGTTGGACGGTTCTGTGTGTAAAATCTTGCACAGAGTTAAATCAATACTGCAGCATTCCAGAGAAGGCATCTATGAGGGGTCTTATTCCATTTTCAGTTCACTTAGTCCAATAACTATGTCCTCTAGGTCTCAYAGGAATTGTATTTCGGYRAAAGGAGCMRATCTGTGATGGGATCATATCTACASTGGKATAGTAATGGGCAAAGGCTCAGGGAGGTAAAAATCCTGTAGAATAAAGGTCTACATAAAAATGAAAACCAACAGTGGGAAAAGAAAAAGGGAAAGGAAAAGRAGTATGAAGAAAAGTTGCTGTTTGGATCAATCATCTCAAATAGTATCCTGAAGTAGGGTTTCAATGTCAAAAGTAGTTGAAATAAAAGAGTATGTATCCACWAACATAGCCACTGAATCCATTGCTGCATTCGTGGTGCATTGATTGACTAGAAAAGGACTGAAACATCGATGTGAGTGCCTTCCCAGCACTGTTTCAACCCAAACATGAATGTCTCATTTTAGCAGTTCCACAAGTCAGCTGTTTTTAACTCCAAACTATTACATTTTAGTGATAGATGTGTATCAATCTTGGTGTGGCCCTTGCAAAGCTGTGCTGAATTTATTAAGAAAACTGAGGATCGACTTTAGTGATGATGATGTGTTACATTTTGCCGTGGTAAGGATGTAAATCCTGTGTGGGACTTTATTTATATTTTAATTTAAACGTATCTATTTATCTGCATATACAGAGCTTTCATTTTCCTGTCCTTCTACTGAACTGTCATAATTTTGGCCTGGTTTCTTGCCCTGAATATGTCCTCATAAGACTTTCTTTAGAACTAGATTAGAAAAGGYAATAAATATGTAAGAAACTATAACAAAAAAAAAAGAGTTCATATCCCACAACTTTTGTTTTCCCTGAAGATATTGCAGAAATATTTAAAAGCCAGGTTATACAACTTCTATTTTTAAGTCTTAAGCCTTATGGACCATTGMATTTAAAACTCTTACATCCCTGAAAAACTGTTGCATCTTTTTTGCAAATGTAACCTTCTATTTAGTTTTTAAGAGAAAACAAAAAAGGGGAAATCTAAAAAAAAAAATCACAAAAGTATAGTAGTAAAAGTATTTGTTTACACTAGCAGTATATATATGTATATATGAGTGTATAGTATCTGATATTTAAGGCTAGATATATTTGTTTCACATTTTCAGTTCCTTCAAGATGTTGGCCAAGCTCATACTTTTTTACTAGTTAGTGAAAATTTTAAATTTCATGATGAAAGGTCTTTCCAGGAAAAAAAAAACCAAAACATGAATTGTTTATACATAAAAAAGGCAGAGGATTATGTTCCAAGGCTATCTCAAGTGGTTTAACACATCTGACCACATTTCACAAAGAATTTATAACACTGGATAATCTCTTCCATCAAGACTACATGGGCTACTTCTTAAATTTATATACGTTATTACAACCTACATGAGAAAATAGTATCAAGAGAAGATACTTTTCCATGATTGATTGCTGTAATACAAAGGGAGTACAATCCCATGTAATGAAAACAGTTCTTTCTTCATCACTATAAGGACTGTTGTATTTAGGACTGCAGTTTGAGCTTGCAACACCAAAGCATATAAGAGTGGGGTTTTCTTGTGGATAAAAAGGTTTTCATATGTATATCTATTTATACATATATGTATGGATATGCATGCACACTTATGTAAGCAATTAATATTTTTTGTCTGACTTCAGGCAGAGGCTGACAACCTTGAATGTCTGAAACCATTTAGGAAGAGCTGTGAACCTGTGTTTCTTTTTTGTGTTGTAAGTACATCACATCAATTTCTTTTAATGTGCTCCCTACTTTTGCCTTARCTTTTTAATAGATTTTAGAATAGATATGAAGCTGTATAAATCCCATCTTTAYAATTTACAGTATGTAAGATGGTACCAACAACCAAAGGCTGTTTGCTTGAGCTGTTTCCCATGTCTGAATCTGGTGSTTTTCAAGCAYATTTTTGTTGTGGCTGATGCACATACAGCCACASAAAGGTTTTGGTAGTCACTATTTTGGTAGTTACTTAGTGAGAAATCCAGGAACATTTTCCAGGTTTCCCTAGCATWAAGTGCCTACATGTGATTACACTGAAATGGTTATTTTATGCACACTTTTCAGCAGGGAGAGTTTATATTTATATAAGATTTCAAAGATAATAAGTAAAATTGTGTTTTCGCACTTGAGGAACTGTAGCAGTGAATCATATATTTATTATCTCTTGCTGATGGACACAGAAAGGCAGTTATCCTAGGAGTCCTTTTGTAAAGCACTGCTCACTTAAGAAGAGGTGGGGTTTGTTTCATCTTGAGGGTGCCAGGATTTGGATTTCCATCAGTAGGGACCAAGAATAATGATACTTTCAGGACACTATCATTTTGAATCTGAATGCTGTCTAGAGAGATTAGCAGTATCTTGGGTCACTATTGGTTTCACTACCACATTCAAGTTTCTCTACCTGAATGTGGTAGAGCATGAACTGAGGAGTCACACACAAAAAAAAAAAAAAAAACAAAAAAAACCACAACAAAAAAAAAAAAAAACCACAAATAAAAACCCCAGAAAACTCCATGTTATAGAAATTAACAACTAGTAAAATCCATATTTGTATTTGCTTCCAACTGTACTATTAATGTTGAGCCTACAAATAAACATAAATAGCTAGGCAGAGAAGGAAGCAAGGAATTAAATGCACAAAAGATCCATTCTGAACTAATAGAGGCAGTACTAGCTTTGGTATTCCCTTCAGTGGGCATAGGAAACAATTCTGTAGCCAGAAAAAAATTAGCAGGACACAGCATGTTTCAAAAATTCAAGTAAATGTGTAAATAAAGTAATGAAAACTCACGGAGTGTTATTTTCTCTTCTACAGTATGGCAAAATTGTTGCAATAGTGAGAGGTGTAAATGCTCCTCTCATAACTAAGACAGTAACAGACCTGGTGCAAGTAGAGAGGAAAATCGCAGCTGGAGAGCAGGAACGTGGTGAGGTACTCACAAACTAGATACTTGTGTATAAAATTGTATTTTTAATACACAATTTCTTTAAATGTCTATGATAGC